AGGAGAGGGAGGAAGGTAGGCAAGTTAGCCTACTACTAAGCGCTAAGCCCTGCCTAAGGCATCGAGACCCTAGCTTCACTCGAGCCCGGTTACATACTAATTACATATAACCTCTTTAGTCCTAACAAGAAGGCTCGACAGCCCCTAGTTCGACGGCGCTTATAACAACTAGTCGTCGCCTAATTTCTTCGTTAATAGGGTCCGGTAGGTTATTAGATTCCGAAGATTCCGCTAATTCGTAATGCTCGTTTTCGCTAGAGCTAGAGCTTATTCGATTGTCGTAAAGTAGTTAAAATGAAATGCTATAGGAAAGTGTTTTTAGTATATATTATAGGTTTGGTTTGTTTCGATATTGCTATGCGAGAGAATAGTATACTAGGCTATTTTCTTCTAATATTACCCCCGGGGTAGTATTAGAATTTAGCCTCCTAGGGGTCGCCTACATACCCCTAAGAGCTAAGTTTAGTATTAGACGAAAGCCGCTCGGAGGGAGAGACTACAATCTCTATTTATACCTAGATCCTAGAAACTAGCTCGTATCTCCTTTAGCTAGGCGGGGGGGGCGGGGACCTTCTTTTTCTAGTAGAAGGCTAAGCACTATCCGAACGAGGCAGCGAATCTCGAAACAATCTACCCGGTTAATAGAGGAACTGTCTAGGCATCCGACCTGTAATCTAGAAATTGCTATCGTATAGATAGTCTTAGCAAACCAAGCAAGGCCGATAGGTAATTAGTCTATCTCCTCCTTAGGCGGGCGGTAGCTTATCTCGAGCAAGCGGTACTAAATAGGTCTTCGACCCGGAGCCGAGTCCTTAGAAGCTAGCTATAGTTATAGACTAGGCCCTAAGCTATAACAGTCCTAAGGGTTTGTAGCTTTTCGGGGTTAAAGCGATGCCCTCGTTAAGAGGTTTCTCTACTTATCGTAATAGCCCCTTAAGATACTTCGGTATCGTCCGTATTATAGGCTCTTATCGTGCCCTCGCTTCGGTTATAGCTATTCGTGCCTAGAGACTACCTTTAACATACCCGAACTTGTTAGATATAAAGAGATAGCCCTACCTTCGGCTCTAATAAAGGACGGAAACTAACACTACTACTACTACTTGTAGCAATAGTATAGGCTACCGAGGGTAATATAACCTATAGTAATATAGGTAGCTATGTTTAGCAAGATAGGATAACGAGACTGTCGCTTAGGCTAATAACTAGAGCCCTATAATATAGGCATTGTAGAAGTGTAATATAAACAATATACTATACGAGGTTAATGCTCTATCTACAATATAGAAGGAGGCCTCTTATATAGGCTTAAAACTGGCCTATAGGTGTAGGGCCGGTTACTAGCTAATAATAGGTTAACAAAGCGGACGATCTATTACTACCGTTATCGGCGTAACTTCAATCGTAGTCGTAGCACTAGCGACTCGGAGGGTATTCGAAAGATAGAATACAACGAAATACCGTATAACGCTTTAATCGCGGTAATTGCGCTATTTAACAAAGGCGCGGAGGTTCCTTACGGATATAAGATTGCGCGTAGAAGTCGTAATTCTACTATAGAAGGCGATAACATCTATAGCTATACGATAGACTATATAGTAAGGTTAATATAGTAGATTAAGTCGTATTACGAAGCTAACTAGCTATATTACAGGATATAAGGGCTTCTAGTAACGGCCTCCGGGTTGTTATCGAACACTTAATAGACTAGCATAACTATAAGACGGCTTATATATTCTACCTGTTAAAGGAGGGTACTAATATAGGTCGTCTTACTATTATTAGTGCGCACTGTGCCAAAAAAGGCGTTATAAAGTAGTCTACAAAGAAGGATGTAAAGAGGGCGTCCTAAGCTAAGAAGGGCAATATTCGAATGCAGCTAGATAACCTTAATCGCTATCTTAGCCCTCTTATAGACGATATAACGGGCGTAGGACTTTCCTATAAGGCTTTGTCTATCTATATAGACAACTTCTACTATAAAGGAGTTATATAGATAGCTAGTTAGCAGCGTGAAATGCTAAATAGCGGTATTAGAGGAGATGTAAGTAGTATCTTCTTTAGTACCTAAGGCATTAAAATCCCTCCTAACACCTAAATTTCTATAGCAACGACTAACTATCTATATATAGTTATTTCTCTTCGATGCTACCTATAAGACGTCCGATAATAACTTCTACCTATTTATAGTCTATATCCGTAATGCCTTCGGCTCCTAGATGCTAGGGGGGCATATATTGCTACAAAGCTAGCGAGCAAAGCTAATCGAATCTAGGCTTCGAGTATTAAAGAAATAGGCACCTAGCTAGAAGCCTATAGTAGCTATAACTAACGACTCGGCCTAAGAACAACGCGCTATCCGACTAGCATTTAAAGAAGAGGCAATAACAATATATCTCTATTAACGATACGCTAAAGAGACCTTCCTACGGCACTTCCCCGAGAAGCAGTACCTATAGGTTTAGCGGCTATTCTCCTATACGATTTACTACGCCCGTAGCGACGTAGAAGTTATCGATACTATCGACGAAATAGTATAGGAATTGAGAGACAAGGGGTCCGATAAACAGGTATAATACCTTATTAATAACTAGCGCGAGAAGTCCTATTTATAGGCAACTTAGGCACGGCTAGGAAGCCCTCTTCTTATATAGGTCCGGACAACGTCGCCTCTCGAAGGCTATTATAACGCTATTAAATATAATAAGAAGAAGGAGATAGTCTAGCTTTCTATATATAGCACTATAGTAGAGCTAATAACAATTAACGCTCGAATATTATATAAGGCAGACCTCTAACTATATAGGGTCGGAAAATCTACTAACTACTAGAAGATTAAATAGATGCCTTTCTTCGAGAGATTACAACCTCTAGTAGCTTAGGACCTAGTTAGAAAGCAACTAGCTATTGCAGATGAATATAAGGCAAAAGGACTGCCTACACACCCCGGAATAGTAATATATAATAATAGATAACCTGCCTATTGTAATTGCCTTCTATAGTTTCAAATCTACTTGCCTTGTTACTATATCCTTAGGTTCTACCTATTTGTTACGCCCTTTACACTCTAGTAATAACAGGTATACGTTAATTAATATACCGGCTTCAATTCTACGAAGATAAGTCTATATTAGAAGCAGCGAGACAGCAATTAACTATAGCTAGAAGGCTACGAAGACACGCGGAGGCTATAGACTATAGGGGACCTATACCTTCGTAATTTAAGGTTACACTACAACGAGGCTACTAAAGGCCTGTCTTAATACTTCTATCGTATTCGCGACGATAAGACCGTTAATCTAGCAGTACGCGACAGCTATATACGCAGCTTCCTTCGCAAGGTTAAGGATACGTTATATAGCCTTACTAACTACTTAATTACTAACTATTACGAGAGCGGCGCCCCCGAGGTTACTTTTATAGGTAAGCGGCCGCGGTAGTAGACCTTATACCCTCTAGCGCAACCGACGACTCTAACTCGACCGATAACAATAACCTCCTTCCGAGCGCTAGCTATAGCGCGGCCGCCGCGACAGCGACCTTAATAGCGTATTAATCGCGCTCCGTTATCGTTACTAATACGCCCTTACTTCGAGCCGCCGCTAGCCTTCCGTCTATTACTATTACCTTATAAACGCGACCGCGCGTCGTTACTAGATATATAGTCGGCGTAGCCTATCGATATAGACTTAGTTAAAGAGGTAGATTTAATAAGCGCCGATACGCCTAGAGCGGCGAATACGTCCTTTATCGACCTTATAACGCCTTAGCGGCCGTTACGAGTTATAGACCTTAGATTAGAGGCATTAGCAGCTTCTTAATACGACTAGATAGATAACGACGACGCGATACGTAAGATATAGGGCAAGAGAAGGACTTCTAATAGGTATAGCGATAGTAGCAAGAGGCAGAGATAATATAGCGATAGCAAGGTGCTTAATATAGCGATAGTAACAAGGTAGTTAATATAGCGATAGCAATAGCGACTAATTAGGCAAGCCGTAGTGCTAAGAACACCCTCCTTCTTAACCCTAATCGTTACCTTAGCTAAGGCCGTTATAATCCGAAACAGGTTATACCGCTATATTAGGAACCTGCCTACAAACTTTAGTGGCGCTCGCCTAAAAGAATGGTACGCTAAATTTCTAGGACATACAAGCACATCTCTTTGAATCTTACTAACGCAACGCAACGCTACATTTATTTCTCCGCACTTTGCTACTGCGACGGAAGACTTGTCTAGAACAAAATCATAGAATTTCTTGATATCATAATGGCTACTATTGCACAGAGGTAATAGCTTTACCCTCAAACATCTCGTGACCTTTCTGGCTATGAAATTTTTCATGCTCGTCAATATAAAGATGTGGTGTTGTTTCTTTCAGGTTACTCAACTCTGAAGCGAAGCGAAGCCGTCCCGGCTGCGGGCCGTCGTTCTCACCTTTCATCTCTTCAACCTTCGCCAACTTGCCCAACTAAGTCTTTTGTCGTATCATGGTCTTGCTCCCCGCATGCCAGCTATCTCGGATGTGAATGTCTTCTTCGACCCGGGTCGTGGCATGTGGATGTGGTTGTACACGAACCAGGGGTTGGACTATCGGCAAGTGCTCTGGCTGCTTGTGTCTGGAAAGTGAGCTTCTTTGTCCCTGCACGAGTACACTATTGATGCTGGCTCAGCAGTATTCCAAGACTGTCCGCTTCGATAGCAATTGTTGCGTGCTCACCATGTGTGCATCAGGCGTTGCCCGTGTCGTATCATGCAGAGTCTCACAAGCACAGTCTATAGCATACACTGCCCGGCAGATGCCTTGTTGTATCCAAGTCGACTCCTATCATCCGACCCTGGCTTACAATAAAACGCAAACATCTCACTAACGAACCTTATTGATAGATTCGGCGCCGTTTAGCTCGGTGTTTCGAGAACAGAGAGGCCAAGGCTGATAGTATATCTACAACAGCAGCAGACGTGACCTGCCGCTTCGCAAGCCTTTGAAGAATCAATACCATCGACAATGGTATCTGTCCGGACGTACAACTACTCCATCGTCTTCGCAGTAGCTCTAGGCTCCTTCACCTATGGCTTTACTTCGGCGGTCATAGGCCCGGTATTCGGCATTCCAGCCTTCTTCGAACGTTTCGGTCTGTCTTACGATGGGTCGGCCAGCATTATCGGTGGTGAGTGTGATGTATGCCTTGATGGGAACAGTCCTCAGCGATTGACATTTGGCGTCAGGCGCAAACGGGGCATTCGCCGGCGGTGGCTGTGTTGGCTGTATCCTCCTTCCATGGCTTGCCGACAGATTCGGCCGCGTGAGAGCTATACAGGTCATTTGCACTATCGCGGCCATAGGGGCGGTGGTACAAGCTGCTTCGGTCCATATCGCCATGTTCATCGTCGGACGCGCCGTCGGCGGCATTGCCGCGGGCGCGGTGAACACTATCATTCCTATCTATCAGTCGGAAGTGTCTCCTGGAATGGAGAGAGGACGCATGGTTGGCATTCACGGCTTTATACTTGTGAGCGGCTATGTGCGTACTCGAGTTCTTCCGTGCCTTCGACCACACATACTGATGAAAAGCACAGGCTTGTGCTGCATGGTCTGGACTAGGGTGCTATTTTGCAACGAATCAACAGATGTCATGGCGTCTGCTCTGTGCTCTGCAGGGTATGTGGCTGTCGCTGTACGGATCGTCGTGCCTTCCAAGTCACTAACGAAACCAAGCGGTGGCGCCGATTCTGCTGGTCGCCGTCAGCCCATGGCTTCCGGAAAGCCCCAGATGGCTAGTTCTGGCTGACCGCAAGGAAGAAGCATTGAACGTCCTCATCAAGCTCCACGGTACAGAGCATGGCATTGCACAAGACGAATGTTCACAGATATACAGCCAAATCGAGCTGGAGAAACGGGGCGATAACCGAATTATTACGATCTTCACCAAGCCAAGCACTCGGCGTAGGTTTTTCACAGCCATGTTTGTGCAGTTCATCGGACAGAGTACTGGAATCTTGGTAACAAGTAACTATCAAATTCTGCTTTGGAACAATCTAGGTGTCACAGGCTGGCGCCCACTTCTTCTCTTCGGCATATATGCGTCGTGGGCAACATTCCTGAACTGGACGGCAACTCGGACCATCGACCGGTTTGGCCGCGTGAGGCTTCTGACAATTGGCATCGTAAGTCGTTGCGTATTTGTGCCCTTGAAAGCAGTACTGAGTCGAAGCACAGGCTGGCGGCGTGGCGATGATGGCTTGCTTCACTGCCATGTGTGCGGTGTACAGTGGAACGCCCAACAAGGTTGGAAACACTTTTGGAATCCTTTTCCTTTATCTCTACGTCACCTTCTACGCCAGCTGCTTCGACGCTACCAGCTATGTCTACTCCTCCGAGATCTTTCCAACCCATCTTCGTGCCGAGGGCGTCGCCGCTGCGATCTTCTCGCTCTTTGCTTGCACGCTACTCTACACGCAGGTGGCAGCCACGGCATTTGCTGAGGTCGGATGGAAGTACTATCTTGTCTTCGTCATTGTGCCAGCTTGTGGACTTCCCATTTTGGCACGCTTTCCGGAGACGAAGGGATGCACTCTTGAAGAGATTGCTATCCTGTTTGGTGATGAGGTGGCTCCCGAGGTTATGCACTTGCCAGCTGAAGATGATCACGAGAAATCGGTGACAGTACAACGCTTGGAGACAAAAACCAACTGATTGCTAACTCAACGTAAGGGGTTGAGAATTGGTTCTGAGACATCATTGCTGCGTATTTGACGACGATTTTGATACGGTGTCAAACCAGACTTCTACGTCACTGAGAGCAAATTAGGTTAATCTTGGATGGCATTGATGTCAAGATCGGTCTCAGGTGGCCATGCTTTCTCGTGAGTTCGTTGTAGGGCTCACGCTGTCCCTACCAAGCTATGGCAGTGCAGTTTCGCTGCGTCCGCAGGGCAACCGGCGCCGAATAGAATACTTCTCCACGTGCGGGGCATGGGATGGCTTGCGACATTGACACTGGGGTATGCTGGAATGAACGTCTCCGGCACCGATGAAATCGATATCGCCATCGGTTTCGGACAGTCGCGTGTGGGGAGAGATGGGTCCCATTTGGAGGAACTGACCAGTTCGACACAGCACACGACGACGACCATAAGCCCGAAGACTTTCACTGTTCCCCCCCCCCCCCCCCCCCCCCCTTTCGAAGGTATTTCCCACAACCATGGCGCCGCCAACACTGGAGCACGTTTTCACCATGAAAGGCTTCACGGCAAAGACCTCAATGGATCTGGGAAAAATCAAGGGCGGTCCTCATCGTACCATTTTCGGCATCACACACGGCTACATTCGAGGTGTACCTGGCTCCGCCGGAGGTGGACTGGATGTAAACATCGTCCCTGGCGGTGGCGATTGGATCTTGTACGATCCAGCCACCAATGTCAGCCACCTCGACGTTCGTACACAAGCTACAGGCAACGATGGCCATCATTTGTATGTCTATTACCACGGCTTCCTGGAACTCGATCAGCACACGCAAGACTTCATGGACTGGTCGAAGGAACCTACAACAACAAGTCCAGGTATGCATCATTGGTTCTCTTCGCCGAGGATGGAGACAAGCGGTAAGTGTTCGGATCATATTGTCGATGGGAGAGATCCTGAACGGTCTGTCTAGATCCAAAATTCAAGTGGGTCGAAACGACCATGTTCGTCGGGCAGGGGTATTGGCACCGTGACGGTGCGGAGCGAGGCGTTGCATATGACATCTACGCTGTACGGAATTGAATTAAAATGGTGCCGAAAGACCGGCGGAGCAGTTTTTAAGTCAGCTACTTTTTCAGACTAGCCACAGGTATACCGATGCAAAACGCTCCTCGAGGATGGAGGGTATCTAAATGCTGCTGGTCGCCGCAGCAGCTTTCCGTTGGCATTGCTCCATCCAATCCAGTATGTAACCATCAGTCTTGTGTCTGACCTTCGGATCGACCCACTGAGTACCAAGAGCATATATATGCAACTGTCCCCACTCACACACCAGCCGATGCAAGATGCTTTGAGATTGGCAAAGCCTGGCAAAGTCTTTCGATTCCGGAAGGACGGTGTCGCCAGCTCCGACCAAAATGAGCTGCGGGTTCAGCCCAAGAAGCTCTGACGGTTCACGATAAAGGGGATTGACATCGCTCGATGTTTTCGAGACCCCATTTAGCCATTGCTCAATGAAGATCGGAATGGTCTGATTGGCGTTGACGAGGTAGTCTGTCTCCACGAGTGCATTGCCACCTTCGTATGCACGCATTGACATGTCTAGCCATGGCGACATCAAGATGCTACCGGCAGGCTGGGGCAGACCAAGTTTTATGCACTCGATGCTACTCAAGATGCAAAGCCCCCCTGTGAAGTCGATTAGTCTTGACATCTTCAACAGTCATTCTGCGAAGAATTCTGCTTACCGCCCGCCGAGTCGCCCATGAAACAAATATTACTAGCTGGAATGTGCTGTTTGAGGAGACACTGGTAAGCATCGACAAATGCATTCCTCTGAGCCGGATGTGGTGCTATATTTGAAAGAGCTAAGACGAAGTTAGCAAAACCCATGCTACATGCGAGCTCATGTCGAACGAACGATACTCGACGCTGACGAATGTCAGGCCCCAACCTCGCTCAGTGGCGGCTCGCTCCCATCGCTCCATCGACTCTATGTACATTTTGGCTTCGCCCCGAGCATATGCACCACCATGGGCATAGAGAGCGATTATGTTTTTGCCAATGCCACAGCGTCGCTTCTCCCAAGTCCAGCCGGGAATGGCGTACAACATCACGCTGGATCCGACGTCCAGACGCTTTGCCTTGTGCTCAGGTAAATCGCCAATCGGAAGGCGCCAGGTGAGGTTTGGAAATGTCAGGGAGCACGAGGAGAGATAGGCGCGTTGTAGTTGCAGGCGGAACGACTGGTAGGATGGGACGTGAGGGAGCAAAACACGCTTGAGAACTACGAGGGATGCCTGGATAACGAAGGTGTAAGTGAATCGTATTGTTTGTAATGGGTTGAGCCAAATCAACTTCAGCAAATGCATTGTGGCGAGCAACAAGTCTGAACGCCAAACACTGATCGCTCGGCCGCACTAATAATAAGGAATATTATTTATCCCCGCGACCCTACCTCCATTCAGGCGCCCCGCTTTGTAGGCTTGCAGGGACCTTCCACCCAAATTTACCACCTTCTACCTTCTACCTTCCACCTTCTACCTTCCACCTTCCACTCTGTCTCTATATCCTTACATCATCTCTCCGCCAAGTACACTAATATATATCTGGCTTAGCGGTCCATACTGAGCCTATAGCGAAGCGCCTAAGACTAACCCGTTCGGCCCTTATATAACCTACTATATTAGAATTAAACAATCGCATATAGTGTACTAGTTCTACGCTAGATATCGACTAACCTAGAAAAAGGGTCCTACGTAATAATACGATCTATCAAATTGTCTATATAAAGTATCTACTAAAATGCGAAATATATACTTAATTCTTAGTATACTAAGACAACCTTACGTACGCTCTGTTTGTTCTACCCTACCTTATACTATATATATACAAACGAAGCATCTAACAAGCTATAAAGGGTACGCGGAGCCTAAGAAACACTACCGCTACAATCTCCCGTATTTAGAATGTCTATATTATTAATACGTTGCCTCCGTTTTACTACCTAGGGCTAATAGCCTTTATAGCCCTCTCTGTTTGCTTTTTACCCTTCCTATATACCAATTCACTTAGCATACGCGCGTTTGTCTCGTAAAAGCCGGGAGTCGGTCCGCTAGCCGTTTCTAGGTTAATCTATAGTATTTAAAAGTCGACCTTACTACCGCCGGCGTCGCAACTTCGTTACTAAACATTAACTTCTAAACTCTAACCTCAAACTCCGCGCTAATATTAAGGACTCGCGCTTTAAACACTCGCTATTGTTTTTTATTGTTGCTACTGCCCTTCGTATATTACGCTTCTACCTTATTACCGCCGCCGTCTCGCTATTTCTAACCTCGATCTCGCCGTACTACTAACAACCGACTCGGTCTAGCCTAGCATACCGCTTAAGAAGCTTAGTAGAAAGCAGCAGAATGCCGTAAATACGCAGAAGAAGCGAGACAAGAACTAGAAGCGTACTACTCGACGCGCTCGTACTAATAGTTAATAATAGCAATTCCCGACCGAATTGCTAAGTCGCGCTATAGTAAGTCGCGAGCGCCTAGATTTTAGCTATCTACTAGAGATCTAGTAGCTAGCGAATAAGTCCGAATACAAAGCATTCTTCTAGGATAGATACCGCTAGATTAATAATGCTAACAATCTACTTAGCCTCGAAGAGATCCGCCGACTAGTATACGATATAGCAGCCTATCTAGAAGCTACAGAAGTATACCGCGACATCTATTCGGAAGGTCTACGCAAGATTCTTAGCCTGCTTTATCCTAGGAAGGAATACACTCCGAGGCCTATTTAGATTAATAGAGTCTACGCTATTGTGTTTAGTAGCAACGATCTACTATAGATCTCGAAGACAGGCGAAGGTAAGACGCTAACATTCCTTTCCTTTACGCTATTAATAGGTATACTATTTAATACTAGTTCGATTGCTATTGCTATTAGTACTAACTTGCCTAGGTCTAATAACCCTCTAATTTATACCGCTAAATCGTCTCGGCGAGGAACAAGCTAATAGTATTACTAATATCGCAAAGGAGCTAGAAGTCTTGCTAAATACTATTAATATTACCTCCGAGACGAGAAGCGTCGATCCTAATCTATTTAAGCATATTCTCGATAGCAAATATTATTATATTATCCTAAGTCTAGAGACAGGTACTAGTCCGGAGTTCCGCAAGCTTCTACGAGACCTAAAGGTACGCGCTCGAGTCGGTATGTACGATAATCGCCGTCGTGTCTTACGAGCTTTAGCTAACAAATTGTAGGTCTAGTTGTAATCGATAAGATATACCTAGTAAACAAGTAGCGTAACTTCCGCAAGGAATACGCTTAAATCTATGCCCTGCGTAAGCTCCTCCGAACCGATATAGTATAGCTTAGCTGCTCTACTACAATGTCCGAGGAGACTAAAGAGTTCGTACTTAAGTATAGCGGCTTTCGAGAGGTAGGTAACGGGCTATATTAGACTAAGATCCTCCGTAGTAGTGTCGACCGCCTAGATACTATATACATTCTACGCACTATTCCGAAGAACTAGCTAAGCTTATACGACTATCTATACTTTACTATTAAGGGTGCTTTCGATTCTAATACAAAGGAGGCGACACCCGAGAAGATTAAGAAGGCGCTACTATTTATCGACGGCTAGAAGTATATCTAGGATCTAGCTAATATTATCCGCTACTAGCTTACTACTGCTACCGCTAATTGCTAAGATCCGAAGAAGCGATATACCTAGGACAATAAGGGTATTAACGTTTATACTACTATTACGTTTTATACTAGCAGTGTCGCTAAGCGTAACTAGAAGCGTCGATATAACTAGTACTACAAGATAGCCGACTATCTAGAAGGACCTTCGAAGCATCGTATTATAATCGCTACTATAGCATTTAGCGTTAGCTTAAATGTTCTAGATATCGAGATTGTCGCGCAGGTTAAGTTCCCTATTATACGCGATATCGAGGATATAATATAGCGTCTTAGTCGTATCGGCCGTACGATCGTTAGCAGTCTAGCCTTTATCTTCCTCCCGTACTATATCGACGATAGTATAAAGAATGTCCGCCTAGGAACTAACTATGCCGCGATTAACGTTACTCGCCGTACTCGTCGTAACTCGTATACGCTATTTCGCCTATCTAGACTCTACTAATCTAAGCTACCGGGCGAGGATGCTAGTGCAGCCGGTACGTAAGAAGTCGGTAATCCGTTTAATAGTAACGATAAGGAAGAGGATCCTATATACTAGACTAAATCGGAAATCGATATACGAGAGAAGATCCCTTATATCTAGTTCGAGGTCTAGAACGATTACTACCGAGAGCAGTATAGTATATATCCTCGTAAAGTCGTCCTCCGGTATCTTAGTAAGGGCAAGGCACTATATACCTAAGACCCGCCTAATAAAGATGCCTGCTATAATATCTGCAACCCGGAACTTAACCTCGTATATATCGATTTACCTCTAGAAGCCGCGATACCTCCGAAGTTTAAAGTACTAAAGTCTAATACCCGACTAGGTATTGCGTTTAAGATGCTATAGGCGTAGACCTCTACTAAAGTCGTTAACGACCGGTATCTAGGCTAGGAAGATAGAACTATATTCGACTTCCCTTTGTCTCGTATTATTAATAATCGTATACTATATAGCATTGCTAATATCTTTACCGCGACTAACTTAGTAGACAATTAGAATACCGTATAGGGCATTAACGTTAATAAAGACCTTATCGAGAAGAAGGCATCCGAGTTTAAGGAGTAGTATAATTCTATCGATAACAGATAGCGGCCTTTTAGATTATATAAGTTACTAAATAAACTTAAGCGTATTAGTCTAGAGGTCTTTAAGCAGTAGCGCGAGGATATCGATATAAAGAAGAAGCGTATAGAGGACCGAAAGAAAGCTATAGAAACCGCCGCCGCAATAGTAGAAGTAGAAGCCTAAGCTGCCCGAGATGCTTTATTATAAGGCACTGCTGCTACGAGTAGATCTATATTGCCGACGGCGCTACCGCTTACTAATGTCTAGCGACAAGCGTAACTTAACGCCCTAAGGAATGGTCTTACTTAGTCCGGTCGTGTATAGGCCGATCGTCTCCTTAGTCGTAATAGCTAGGCAGTAGACGTACGTCCTATAGCTAGCTAAGGTTAAGGTTAAGGTTAAGGTGCTCGTAGTAGCCGTAGAGATAGACAATCTACTGCAGGTTCTTCTAGTAGCGCTAGAGGTAGCGCTAGAGGTAACGCTAATACGGTTATATAGAATGCTAGCTATCGCGATAAGCGTAGTCCTTTTAGTACTCTAGGAGGTCGACGTAGTATACCTCGTATTAATCCCTAGATTAAGGCTAACTATTAGCGATCTAAGCAGTTGCTAAGTACTATATCTCGTACTATAGAAGAGACTAGGGGCAGGGTGCTCCGGCGTAAGCGTAGGCTATTAGAGGCTAGTCGGCGTATAATAGGTAGCTCTCTAGGTAGGCGTTAATCGTTAATCGGATATAGGAGAAAGGAAGGGACTACTTAGAGATTAATAGCTCGCTATAGAAGGAAGAATACTCTAGAATTATAGACGTTTTAGTCGTATTTGCGCTACCGATCCTCTTCTTCGTAAATTATCTTAAGCATATAGCTAGTATAGCCTCTAGTACTAGCATAGCCTCTAGTGCTAGCATAGCCTCTAGTACTAGCATAGCCTCTAGTGCTAGTATAGCCTCTAGTGCTAGCATAGCCTCTAGTGCTAGCATAGCCTCTAGTGCTAGCATAGCCTCTAGTGCTAGCATAGCCTCTAGTGCTAGTATAGCCTCTAGTGCTAGTATAGCCTTAGGTACTTACCTAGCAGTCGGCGGCTATTGCCTTAAAAGTGCGGTAATATATAGCCGTTATTGTTGCCTTGCTATTATAGCGTAAATAGCGCAATCTTATTAGTAGAGGCCGACCTTACCTATAAGGCGTATATAGATACCCGCTTTCTAACTTTAACTTCTTCTTCTTCTTCTTCGTCTTCTTCTATATATATATACTAATATACTAACACCCCTAGCAACATACTAGCTGTCGGCGTATATAATAGTGTCGATACCTCTTTGTCGTATATAGGTAGCTCTATAGCGATTAATACTATTCCTTGCTAGTTCTGCGGCTTGCTACCGATAGAGCCGCTTATCTAATAGTTAAGGTTCCTCGATCGGTAGAGTTTGTTTAGTCCTTCTTTTAAGGTCTCCGATAGGCTTTGCCGAGCAAGACATTGCAAAGGCGACTCTCCTAGCGAGTAGGTGCTCCTAGTAAGTAGGTATACTATAGCTTTAGCGGGCGTCGACTACGTATTTAACTAAAAGAGCATAGTTTTGTTAGAATATCGCAGTCTTAG